ACCTAGGAATTACCATATGAGAACAGATCACTGGTCTATCTAACACAGTGTACTGCCTTTAACAGACCCAATACTTCAGAGGAAAATGATGCACTTAAAGAACCAATGCAGGACTGAGAAAAGCAGCCCAGCCAGGAGGCCAATTGAAAGACCTAGAACACAGGGACAAGTTCTTCCCAATGGGTGAAATGCACTCATGAAGCAAACACACACAAGGCCCAGGCACCACTTAAGTTCTACTTACACTGCATTGTCAACTCTCATGATTTCCTTGGTAGCAGTTTTGGCTAGGGCTGGAACCAATCTTGCAATGACAAAAAGCTGCTCCAGCCCTTTCATGAATTTAAGCCACCACCACAAGGCATCATGGCAGCATTTCCAAACAAAATTTTCTGTATTAAACGAAAAGTTTTTGGCAAAAAATTTTCATTTTGCCACTGAAAAGTGTTCTCTCTTTTTTTGGCCAATGCCCACACCCAAAAATATTTTGGGACAAGCTCTAAAAGGTAACTCTGAAACCTTTAGAACTGTCAGAATACGACACATCATGTCTTTAAAATAGCTCTAGGAAATATCTCCAGATTAAATAATTCAATTAAAGAGAAAGTATTTATCTAACTCAAATGTAAATTCAATTTACTGTGAGATTTCTTTAAGAAAAGTCAGGAGGGTCGGATTATATACTATTCTTTATTCCAAAGACTCCATATTGATTCAAAGATTGCCAGAAATTAAACCTGATGATCCTTCTCCACCTAATTTACAAAAGTGATAAGGCATGAAAACTATTTAAAAGAGCAAGTTCTGTGAGGGTAGATGTCAAGTCACTAGATGACTAAGCTAAGGAGACAATGACTGTGCCAATATCTGTATTCAGCCTGTAGGCATGCTCATAGTGAGCTAGTTGAAAAGACTGAGTAGTCTCAGTGTGATATGACTGTTCACATAGTTAATACAAATACTCTCTTCACTCCTGACAAAACCTGCCTCCTGAATGCTCATTAAATATTTCAGTTTCTGCCTTTAGTCACACCCATGCAGCTCCATTAAAGCCAGGTAGAATTTAGTACTAAGACATTAACATGATTAACTTTATTCTAGACTACTTTGCAAGGCCGACTCAGAATGCCAAAGGCACCTTCAATTTTATATTATATAAAGACGAAATTTCAACATGAAAAGTTGTTTCAAAACAAGAAATTGAAACATTTGTTCCAAAAATGTCATTGTGTTTTCAGAATTCCTCCCCCCACCCAATTTTCTTTCAAAACAAATTTCCTAAATCTAACTAGGGAGATATAACAAACCTTTACAATGTCATGGAAGGGATTGTTTCTTTATTCGAGCTAAAGGCTCCTATGACTAGAAAGAGCAGCAAAACATTTGTCGATCGGCTCAAACAAGACAAGCCAATGCTCTGTATTTCATCCATTATAGAGTGAAGACAGGAACCAGTATCATCAAAGCTAAATAAGGCTTCTAAATATGGATTTGAAAATCTGGTGTCCTTTGTCCATCCTTCTCATCAGGTCAATGGACTCAGTGCTTCTAAGCTGCACTGGCTCAGGAATGAAGTTTGGAAACTCATCACCCCAACCTGTGTAAGTGTTCCAAGGAGAAGTTGGCAGACCCAGCTTCTTTAATTTGAGCTCAAATTTCATGAGTTAGGTGATGCCATTGACAATAGTTCAAACTATTCTATGCATAAAAGACTTCTAAGCTCTAAGATCTTTTCATCATAGAAATTGATAGTGAATAAAGCCCTGGGTGCTGGATTGTTTTCAGTGAATAGAGACTCCAGTGCATAACACAGTAAGTTATTAAAGAGTTTTATAGGTTAACTTTTTCTGCACCGAAAATTTCATGAGCTGAAAGGCCTGGTCCTCACCTCCATGCAACTGGCACAGACCTCCTCCGCCACAACTAAGTCTAAAGTCTTAAGTCCATTCTTCTTCTCAACTGCTGTAGCCCATATGAGCTATGTCCTGGAGGACTTGCAAAGCATCACGTGGGTTGGGTGGGGAATGTGGACTGAGGACAATAAAGTTGGTTTTGTCTGGGGAGAGAATCATGGATTGAACATTTCACAACAACTGACCAGTCAGTCATTTAAATATTAGTTCAAATGGAAAAGCATTTGCTCAATTTCCTCCAAGCATTCCAGAAATGTTCTCTTTCCCCCTCAGAATTAGCCTTCAAATTTTGATAATATAAGTACTGGGAGATTCTAGATTTGGATCCTGCTTTATTATGGAACACCCGCTACTACCTTAACTCTGGAGAGACTACCAGTCTTTACATTTAAAAATTAGGATTAAAATAATTATAATGGGAGACAGTCACTCTGGGCTCGATCCTGCTCTCATTAACATCAATGGTAAATATATCATTGGTCTCACTGGAGGCAATAATTTGTATGCTGATTATTGCCATACCATTGATCCTAAACCTTTTACAAAGACGACTATCAACAAAAGTGCAACATCTGAATCTTTAATTTTTGTGATTACTGATTATATGACTCACCTTGTTAAGCCGTGAACTTCCACAGGCTTTAAAACAGCTTACTTCTGTATGCCATCATCTCTGGCAACAGCCAATCAAACCTCTTACCTTCCATTTTCATGGACTGAAAGCTGACTGAACAGGTAGTTGCATATTAATTACACACACACACACACACACACACTCCAATCCATGCCTACTGTGCACTGTATCAGTCAAGGATTTACACAGTACTGACCTATGTCTTCTGAGATTCCCTCTACCCCCAGTCATGGAATATGAGTTTATTGGGGTCAGATTGGAAGGGACCTCAGGAGGTCATCTCGTCCGACCCCCTGCTCAAAGCAGGACCAATCCCCAATTTTTGCCCCAGATCACTAAATGGCCCCCTCAAGAATTGAACTTACAACCCTAGGTTTAGCAGGCCAATGCTCAAACCACTGAGCTATTCCTCCCCCCACCTGCTTTTGCTTCTGTATCTTTTCTACTGATTTGATTCTATTACCCAAAATATATCGTTCAGAGCATTTTGTTTGGGGGCTGCCTTTGGACACTTGAACTGATTTAATAGAATATTTAAAGGATTTACGTGTACTTTTCTGATCAAACATTAATCTGAAGAGGACTGTACACATTGTCAAAGTACAAATTTCCAAGGAGCTCCCTAAACTCCTTAGGGAGGTCCTATTCTTTTCTCTATATACTTTTCTTGTCACTCTTGATAAGCATTGCATAGGGCTAAGGGTCTCATCCAAATCAGAGTGAAATCAGTGGAAGACTTTCCACTGATTTCAGTGAACCTGGATCAGTCATAAGCGGTTTTTCTGCAGTAACACAAGGATGAAGTGGCAGTTATGTCAGTGCTGATCAGGTACCAATGCTTTTGTCTTTACCCACATTTCTCCAAATGCCATTACTTGTTTCATGTCCCCTAGTCTTGACTGTCAAATAACTTTGTATTAAATAAGAGCAAGAAACACATTGGTGCTTATTGGCCTTCACGCTAAAGTGCGGTTAACACATGGTATAATTTTGCCATGCAACATTCTGTTCACATTAGTTTCTTCAGTCAAAATCTGCATGCTATGTTAGTTTTCCTTACAGAGTCCATAAAAAAAAAGCATTGCTAGACCCCACAGGTGGATCCTTTAAATCCGATGAGCTCTCAAAAAGATGAATTCTTCATTAATACTAAACCATATTATTTTAACATTTTATTGCCATGGTTTTACCAACATCCTGGCTGCATATAATAGTATTTATTCCAGTACTTGTCTGTTTAGTAGAACTAAGATGTAAGATATTACCCTTGTCTCAGTGACCTACAACCTTCTGTCACACACAAAGTAGATTGTCTCAGGGAATTCTCTGGGACTAAGTCATTCTAAATACTGAAGCAAATGCTGAACTAACACTGTCATTTGGATCTAGCTGTATATTTGGCCATTCAAAATGTACCATCTTCTACTTAGAATTTATTGTCCTTTTCTTTTTATGCTCCACATTTAGGAAAATCTATTCCACCCAAGATGAAACAGGTTTGTCTGAATCTTAATCGCATACTGAATCTTACCTAAAGCAAGTTAGATTTTCAGCTTTTCTACAATCCTCTGAATTGCTGTAAGTCAGTTTTGACTATATATTTGAGAATATCATTGTAATGTAATTCAATATTACTGAATATGACCCACATAATCACAATTTAAGGCAGTATAATTTATGGTCAGAGAATTGACATTAGCCTGCTTTGGTGATAAAAATATGGTTTTACTATTCTTTAGTCTGAAAAGCCATTAGAGCTAAGGAAGAGTGAGCTAAGGTCTGTTCTCACTCCTGCATCATCCACAAACTTTATTAACTAAGTTCTGAATGCTGGATCATTATAACTGGCAATGTTGCCCAAGCCAGAAGAGAGACAGCTGGTTTTCAGATCATAAAACAGACTTTGCAACGTCAGGTAGAACAAACTCCTATCTTTTTTCCAGTGAAATAATTAATATGTATATACTTACTGAGAACAAACAACTCCACAATGTTATCATTACAGTCACTTTTCAGAGTATAACTGCACTTTAAAAACAAAGGGGGAAGTGCAAAACACTATGTTAAAACAGTCTTCGAAAGGGTGGTCAGGTTCTCACTTAAATGAACAAAGGCCAAAAGAAGTTGAAGTTGGGTTAGTCCTCTGCTACAGCAGCCTCATTCAACTTTTTCCACCCAAGTCAGAAATAGTAAGTCATGTTGTATCAGGAACTATGGTTGATCCATTCTACAAGCTGTAGGTACAACTGGTTGATTTAATAGCATATTAACTTCCTGGCCTGAGACCTCTGATAGATTTCAAACCTACACTGACTCAATTTTCTAAACTGTCTTCATTTTGTATGTTTAAAAAAAAAATCAAGACTTGTATAATTTTAACAGGGATTGGTATTTATTCTTATGTTAATAAAAGATTGCATAGGTTAGAATGCAGCAGCATACACAGAACCTAGTTCACACCCATTTTGTGTCAGTGTAAACCTGCTGGCTTCTGTGGAGTGACTCCTACAAACAAGAGGCAGATCAGGTCCAAAATATAAAATTTTGCAATCTATACAGTTTAGAGAAGTAAGAACAGGATAAACATGATACAGTAAAACTGTGAAAAATGAATTTAGTAGGAAATATATTTTCCATGGTTCAGTCTGACAGCCCCTCAAAGGTTTGCAGAAGACATTTCATGAACCATTAGGAATCAAATGGAAAATTTGTGGCACAAATGCATAAAACATAACATTTATTGAGCTTATCTACCAGACATAAAACACACTGGATACGAAATGTGAACGGCAAGATCACGTAGAGTATTTTGTCTTCATTTATTTACCTGACCAGGACACACCACTGGGTTTTGCAGCTCATTTATGATGGAGTCTTGGGAATATGGCAACCGTGTAAATAATAACCTGAGTCAAAAAGCAAGGCAATAACCATGGGAAAAGTAAAATTGCTTTTCACAGCAGTTCTTAATCAGCATTTTCCTCACCAAGGAAATATAAACAAGTTAAATATGTATCAATCTTTAACAGTCATGAATAGAAGATGTATAAGCTTTATAATGAAAAAGAATGGACATAACAAAAGCTTTGTTCCATAGCAATTTGATATCAGACTTTATTTGTGATAATATTATAGCTTCCAATATAAGTGATTTTGACGTGTGAATTAAAGAACTAGGATTTCACTAAACACAAAAAGAGGGTTAGAGCTAATGTCTTACCTGGTATAATTAGTAGGGCTGTCAGTTAATCACAGTTAACTCACGCGATTAACTCAAAAAAAAATGAATCGTGATTAATCGCAGTTTTAATTGCACTGTTAAACAATAGAATACCAATTGAAATTTATTAACTATTTATATTTAACTATTTTTAAATATATTAACTATTTATTAACTAGTTTTTCTACACTTTCAAATATATTAATTTAAATTACAACACAATATAAAGTGTACAGTGTTCACTTTATATTATTTTTATTGCAAATATTTACGCTGTAAAAATGATAAACAAAAGAAATAGTATTTTTCAATTCACCTCATAAAATTACTATAACGCAAGCCCTTTATTGTGAAAGTGCAGCTTAGAAAATGTAAATTTTTTTTGGTAACATAACTGCACTCAAAAACAATGTAAAACTTTAGAGCCTACAAGTCCACTCAGTCCTACTTCTTATTCAGCCAATAGCTAAGACAAACACATTTGTTTACATTTACGGGCAATAATGCTTCCGGCTTCCTATTTACAAGGTCACCAGAAAGTGAAAACAGGTGTTCGCATGGCACTTTTGTAGCCATCATTGCAAGGTGTTTACATGCCAGATATGCTAAACGTTTATATGCCCCTTCATGCTTCAGCTACCATTCCAGAGGACATGCTCCATGCTGATGATGCTCATTACAAAGATAATGCATTAATTCAATTTTGACTGAGCTCCTTGGGGGAGAATTGCATGTCTCCTGTCCTGTTTTACCCACACTGTACTATGTATTTCATATTATAGCAGTCTCAGATGATGACCCAGCACATGTTGTTTGTTTTAAGAACACTTTCACAGCAGATTTGACAAAATTCAAAGAAGGTACCAATATGAGATTTCTAAAGATAGCTAGCTACATCACTCAACACAAGGTTTAAGAATCTGAAGTGCCTTCCAAAATCTGAGAGGGACGAGGTGTGGAGCATGCTTTCAGAAGTCTTAAAAGAACAACACTTTGATGCGGAAACTACAGAACCCGAACCATAAAAAAGGAAAATCAATCTTCTGCTGTTGGCATCTTACGCAGATGATGAAAGCGAACATGCATTGGTCTACACTGCTTTGGATCATTATCGAGCCAAACCTGCCATCAGCATGGACACGTCCTCTGGAATGGTGGTTGAAGATGAAGGGATATATGAATCTTTAGCACACCTGGCCTGTAAATATCTTGCAACACTGGCTACAACAGTGCCATGCGAACGTCTGTTCTCACTTTCAGGTGACAAGAAGCGGGCAGCATTATCTCCTGCAAATGTAAGCAAACTTGTTTGTCTGAGTGACTGGCTCAGGACTGAGTGGACTTGTAGACGCTAAAGATTTTTCATTGTTTTTCTTAATGCAGTTTTTTTGTACTTAATTCTACATTTGTAAGTTCAACTTTCATGTAAGGAGATTGCATTACAGTACTTGTATGCGGTGAATTGAAAAATACTATTTCTTGTGTTTTTTACAGCACAAATATTTGTAATAAAAAGTATAAAGTGAGCACTGTACACTTTGTATTCTGTGTGTAACTGAAATCAATATATTTGAAAATGTAGAAAACATCCAAAGATATTTAAATAAAAATGGTATTCTTATTGTTTAACAGCGCAATTAATTGCACGATTATTATTATTTTTTTAATCGCTAGACAACCCTAATAATTAGCAGTAATTCTAACTGAAAATAATAAATGTAGATCTGCCTTTGTCTGAACGGATAGTTAAAACATGTTCATCAGTGGCTGAAGTTAGTTTTTAATTTGCAGATGGACTTTAGCCATAGCTCATTTGTGTGCACACAACATTTTACACATGCATCTGCACGTGCACATTTCATGGACTAACCACTTGACTCTGAGAGCTGCTATAACTTGCACAACACAAGTGATTACACTGACATGTGCAAAACCCATTTGTGTGCACACAAGTTAGTGTCTGTCTGTCACACACACACACGTGCTGGCAATTGCAAAGGCATGCCCAGGTGTTTGTAAGTAAAGAGTTACAGGTGCAAAATGGGTTGTGCTATTTTTGGAAAGTCAACCCTTTAAGAATCATTGCTAAGGGCACAACAGGCCAGGCTCCATTCAAAGATGCAGACTGGGGCGAGAAGGACAGCCAGAAGCACCCAAAAGCAGTGATTTCTCCCTTCACTTTTGAAGATTCCGTAGGAATCTGCACAGTCTGCTCTAAGTATTGCTGATGAAGTCAAACTTGGCTTCTGTGGCTTTTTTTTTCCCCCCCCCTTAACTGCACTGGCTATCTCAGAACAAAGTGGTAGGACAACCTGCTGACTCATCCTTCCCCAGCAGAAAAACTGCTGACTCATTCATCACACACTGCTGACTGACACCCAATTCAGCAGTACCAAACGGAGGTCTCCACAGAACCCATGTCTATTTTTTTTATAAGTCGCTGCAGTGCAAATAGAATATTCTACCCCTGCCAGTTCAATATGCCATACATAAAATAATGGTAAAACCTGAGGGCATAAGTACCTCCTCATACCAGAATATTCATTTTCTCTGAAATCTCAATGAGAAGACTTACTTCTTAATGGAGAAAAAGAAGAGGGAACATATCCCCAACACATTTTTCAAGCTCAACTCATTCCGAAAAAAAATAAAGTCTTTTAAAAAAAAAAAAAAACCCCATGGTTTCCTGCCAAGAAACTCCTATTTTCCAGCTAAAATTGGTATTCAGTCATGACAATTTTATCCTAGTCCTCAAGGATGGAGTAAGCCCATATAACAACTAATCATGGACTATCCTTTATTCATGAAGTCTGATTTCCCATTACTGCTATTTTCCAACAATGGTGGTTTAAAAAACACAATATTGAACATTTTACTTAACTTTTCTGCTATAGAAATAATGAAAAATAGGTTTGTCAGTTACAATAAGAACAATCTATGGAAAGCTGAGTTTCTGTCAGATGCTGCCACACTCCACTCTGTTACACTGGTGTAAACCCAGTGACTTCAAGAGGTGGCTTTATGGGCAACAAAGAATGGAACTGCAGCTACAGTTTCACCATAGACAATTTTTGAATGAAAAGGCAGAATTTATTTGACTATAAGCAACAGTATGAGGAACATGTAATTACATTTTAAAGCTGAGCTATAACTCAAAATACTTATTAATATAACTCTTGAATATATTAACGTCACTAAAGAGGCATTAAACCATCTTGCAAGTTCTGTTAACATAAAGATCACTCAATTATTAGCAGCATAAAGTACCCTACTGCACTTTGGAGTACTTCAGTGTTTGTAATGGATGCTAGAAGACAGGCCAGCTTTCTTTTAACACTTTTTACCAAAAATTAAATTAGAATATCATTCAAGTAAAAACATTCCAAGCACATTTAGCTTTCTCCGTATAAGAAATGCTGGTAAGCGTGTGTAATGACGGTCTCATTGCTATTCTCTTTAAAAAAATGGTTTCTAACTGACTGCTGACACTGAAACATTGCACTGAGCAATTATGAAAGCCTAGAGAGTAAAAAAGGAGTTTTTACCATGTTCATTGCAGCTGTGTGGACTCAACCTCTAACAGGTGAGCTCTACCTATCTGAAAAGACCAACTTTAGTGAGCAGTGCTGGTTGCAAAGTAATATTTTTCTCCTGTGAAAAATGTTAGTGAAAATGTTTCTGTCAAAAACCAAAAAGAGTTGGTTGCTAAAAATTGTTTCATCCAAAAAATGAAAATGTAAACCTTGATATTGTTGACAAAACAGATTTTTTGGCCACGAAAATTTCTCTTTATTCAAAAAGCCATTTTCTGTCAAACTAAAGTTTTGGCAGAAAATTTCTGAGCAACTGTATGAGGGAGTTTTACTTTTCTAATTAAGGACCTAGGAGCTACTGACCTTGGTAAGTTCACCAGAAGTAATGGTGTAGTGCTGTCAGCTTCCTGCTAATTCCACTCCATTGAGAGGGCCCAGAAGCAGCCTAGTCAGCCCCAAAGTGGATGGGATTGGCTCAGGAGGAACACGACCTACCCAGGTGGAAGAGGCACTGATTAAGCATCTGTCATTAAAATCACCACTGAAACACCCCACCCCCCAAACCACGATTAGGGGTTCTTTCACTCTAGTCCCTATGGTCCTGGCTCTGCAGCTTCTGTGTCCCAACCCTCCGGCCAGCTCACCTTTCACATTCAGTCCCCTTCCAGGGCAGGGGAAAAAGCCAGACAGAAAAACTCTAAAGTCTAATAACCTTTATGACAGGTCTTCAGCTCCCATACAGTACTCATCAATCTTGGCCTCTTAATCCTGAGACTTGCACTTCCTCTCTGGCTGGGGGAAAGGGATGAGAACCCAGATCTGCCCTCTCCTTTCCTCTGGGTTCCAGCCCAGGGTCCCTGTGTGTTAGGCAGCTAAGGGATGTTCCTTACAATCCTTTACCACTTCTCTGGGCTGCTCCTACCTTTTCCCATTTACTGGCATCTCTCAAAGGGACTGCAACCACCACTACGCCTACTGTTCTTGTGCAGCTTCTTCCCAACTCTCTATTGAAGAGAGTTCTCAAGGCTACTCCCAGCCTCTCTAGCAGTCCCCACCTCCAGAGTCTCTTCTGCTAGTTCACTTCAGATCTGCCTGTATGGTGCCCCATCCTCCTTCTCAGCTGGCCCTAATACTAAATTGGGCCTGCCCTTCTTCCCTCCCTCAGGTATAGCCTGATGGGCTACATAGGTACTAATTCTCCTATTAACCCTTTATTTGCCAGTATGGGACACACAACCGGTCACAGCATCTCTCAGGCAACCTTCACTGAAGGGCTCCTAAGGAACCTCTGCTGGACTTCAGTACTGCCCATTCCTGTAGTACTACCACCTGCACTAGGGGAATCCCCCATTCAGCACACTTGCCACCACAGGAACAAGGAGATGCAATTTGCATTCTTCTGTGTCTGCAGGGAAAAATACAACCCAAAGCAATAATAGGATAGTTCCTAGAGAGAGCTGGGGGGGAAGGGGGAACTAAACGGTTTTGCATTCAAATGTGACTAATTCAATGTATACTGTACCTTTCCCCAGTTTTGGTATCCTTTTTCCCGGGGGAATTCTGCAAGTTTTTGCATCAATAAAAGGTTTATGTGTCAGCAGAGAACCTCTCTCCGTGCAGTAGAGCAGGAAAATTCAGTTCAGTGCATCACCACTCTGGATCTGAAAAATCATAAAATGTACCTTTTTATATATTGCACCCTTTATCTTAAAGGCTCACAAAGCACTCCTCAAATAAATTGATGAACAAACATCTCCTATTTCTTAGGAGTTAAACAACTGCACTGTGCTTGTGAACTGTGAATTTAATTGCTACAGAACAGACTTGTATCAACAGTCATTCACATTAGCCAGCTCATGATTCATTTTCATGTATGTGGCTTACCCAAATCTTTGCTCAACAGAGCCCCCTGAAAGTCAGAACATAAATATTTTTCTCCCTGGTTTATCCTTTCAAAGTCTGGAATTATTTTTAAAACTTTAACATTATTGCCTTTAGTGACCTCTATATTTACATTGCCTACCGTTTTCCATTATAGAAGATTCTGCAAATAGTTTTGTTTGTTATAAACCTCACAAATCTCCATAGTTTGCAGCAGGCCCTTGAAATTCAGTAGGGAGAAAGCACTCTGGCTAGAGAAGTGCCTTTTCTTTTGCATTCAGGTTTCTCTGATTTATAGACTGTTAAAAATGACTGTTTCCCCTGTCTTGCTTGCATTGCTCAGGAAAAATTTAGGATCATGCCAAAATAAGAGTTGAACATGAACTCTCGAAAGAGCCAGCTGCATACTGCTACCCAAGCAGCAGCAGTAGCGCAAGCTATACTGGGAAGGCCTATGAGCTGTTAGAGCTGTGGTGGGTACAGAGCTTAGCTGAGCCAAGCCCAGGCTCTTCCATTCCAAATGATATCCCCCAGACATGGCACATAGCTTCAGCATCCCTTCCCCTACCACATGGATCAAGAGTTCCTTCTGCTGCTGGAAGTGTGGGGGAGAGAGAGATTAGGAAGAATAGTGAGAGACATTGTGGGAGGGAAAGTGGTAATAAAGGGGATGGAGAGAGGGGAGGATTTCCACACAATCTAAGAAAGAGAAAGAAGAAATGTTGCAGATACACTCATCTATGGAATGATGAGCAGCATGAAACCAGCACTGTTAGGGACAGTGCAAGACCCAAATCTTTTCATAGGCATTCAAAGCAGACAGGCCCGGAGGTATTTGGTGTAGGAGTAAAACCAGCAATCTGATCTCACAAAGATGGTTTCTTAAAGGCCTGATCCTAATCCCACTGAAATTAATGGGAGCTTTCCTATTGATCTCAAAGGTCTTTAGATCCTAAAGGGGAGGGGAGTGGAGAGTTTAGTTCCAAATCCTAGCAAAATATTACATATCTCTTATGTTTGGCACTGGAACACAGTCCCTGGATAACACAGCAATGAACACAATAGAAATATGTACAGGGAGAGAAATGGGCAAAAATGAAGAACCAGTCAAAAAAGAGAAAATGCCTAGGAGGGGATGTCATCATTTTGAGTGGGCAAATAACATGTAAATAAGGATAATGGCATGAAATGGGACCATTGTCTGAGCATCAGGAAAGGCTTCTTAATGGTGAGATCTAGTAGAGTGTGGAACTGATGAAGACCTCCTTCCTTGGAACAACTGAAAGTAGATGGACCAAGCATTGGAAGAACAATCGCATACTGGCCAGGGAGAGATATCTACAGTAATAAATCTTTTCCATCTCTTATTTCCTGGAATATTTTTATATATTCACCCCAATATGGTCCTTGAACTTTTCTGAGAGAGATTCGGAGCAAGACGTCTGACAGCAGTAACATCTCCTCCTGCTCATTTCATTCCTTGGGGGCAGGGAGGAGAGGCTCAGCTCTGTCCCACCTCTTCTCTTCTAGTTCCTCTGCTGAGAAGTGTGTGAAAGAAAAAGCAAAGGTGTGAAAAGGGGCAGCAGTGTTTCCTCCCTGGAAGGTGAACACTGAACAGTGGCATTTATAAATGATTTAGTATTCAGGGTGTACTTGACACTGTTCTTCAATCATCTATCACAGACACACAAAGACACGGAAGTTCGAAAATTAGCACTTTAAAAATAAATTTACCAGTTGTAATGTGGTATTCTTGTTCAGTCTGGATTCATGAACTACATCACTCAGATACCACTACACAATACCAGAGCAGAAGCTTATTATTATAAAGGTTGTTGAGCCCTCAGGCTAGAGAAGTACCTTTTTCTTTATCCTGTGAAATCACACATTCAGGCATATCTGAGTGATGAACTGTTAAAAATTACCATTTCCCCTGTAAGCTGGCATTTTACAACCCCTTGGAACAGACCCAGACATCAGAGTGATACTGCCTCTCCAGAGATGACACTGCCCCCTTCACATGCATATTCTGTCCCTCATGTCCTAACACAGGATCAGGCTCTTCCCTGGATGGCTGAATAAGCGTCAGCTAAGGAAAGATTTGAACATGGCCATAGCCAGACATATGGAGCTCTCCCATTCTGATAGCTCCCTGCCTGTAGTCAGTAATAAAAAAGAAGGACAGAAGTAGCTGTGTGGCCCATACAGGCCTGGAGGTAGGAAGACCCTCAGAATTCTCCTATATTAGCAAAGACCCCCAAACACAACAATTAGAGTAGTGAGGCTGGACTTGTTCATCACTGAAGGAACAGAATCCCCATTAGAAAGAGGGGGCCCTCAGGAGCCTAATCTCACTCGCATTGATTTTGTTGTTGTTATTGTTTACATTCAGCATATAAACTGGACCCAATCATCCGCTGTCCCTAAAATGGAGCTACGCAGAGAAGTTAATCCCAAAGGTTGCTAAGCAGCAAGTGGGCATATAGACTGTGCTGAGGGGGTGATGTTATCTTACCACTCATTTGTACAATCTCTCTTTCTCTTGGGCAGCTCTGTATTTCTCAGATTCATAGATATTAAGGTCAGAAGGGACCATTATGATCATCTAGTCTGACCTTCTGCACAAGGCAGGCCACAGAGTCTCACCCACCCACTCCTGCCACCAAGAAACTGGCTTATTATGTGGGGGAAAAGTAAGACTTCTACTGCATTATAAACTGTGCCCCGATAGAGTGACCCATGAAGCTTTTGGAGCTTACACAGACCTGGGGTGATAAAGTTCTGTTTCTATGTCCATTCAATTCCTGGCCTGTCTTCTAACACTGCCTCCAAAAGATTTACTCGTTTTTGTGAACTGGAAAACATCCAGTACAAATGGAACTGAGGCCCCCAAACTCACTTCACGTAGGTCACCAAACAGCTATCTTTGGGTCACTATTGATCTGAAATGGATTTGAACTGCTGATCTTTCAGAAAATTTCAAGAAGTGGATTTAGGACTAGCTTTACACCTAAAAAGTAAGTTATAGATGTGAACATCACCTTGATTGATCAGCCTTCACAGAGTGCTGATCACAACACATCGTTCATGATGTTCTAGACAGTCCTTCAACCACTCACTGGCCAGGCTGTCAGTGGCACCAGACACCCAATCAGCATAGCACACCACAACCCAGAACCCTTGAACTCAAACAATCCGCTAGCCGCAGTCTCCCAAGTAGCTGGGATTACAGACGCGCGCCACCGCAGATGTGAACATACAGCTGCACAATTCAGAGACTGGCCACTTACAAATTCTGAATGCCCAATTACAGGTTTGCTTTATTAGCAGAGGATCTGCAATCACACATTTTATTAGTCTGTGAGCAACACAGTCGTATCATAATAAACACAGGCAACTCACGCAGAGCACTCTCATGATTATCTGGCAGCTTTACCTACTCCCTTCCTCTTTTCTTTAAAGTTGCACTAGTACGTTGTACAAAATGCAGTGAAGGAAGACAGTATAACAATGTGGATAGCAGCTGCTCTAGTAAAGGGTACATTCTGCCACCACCCCATTTAATTACTATTTGCTGTTCAAAGCTGTGTAGATTATCTCCACCCACACAAGATAATTTGATCGCTGTATTTCGTATACCCGTGTACTAACATTACATTAAAAATTTCAAAAAGTAAAAACCTTATGACTGCAGTTAAGGATCCTGCAAAAAATCTCAGAGCCTTTCCTAATTATTTTATCTCCTGTAACACAACATGCAGACCTAACGCAGTGTTTTGCAGACAGAAGGATTAAACCTTGTCTCTAAGAAGCATATTGACAACTGGGGTGAAATCCTGGCCCCACGCAAGTCAATTGGAAAACTCCCATTGACTTCAATGGTGGAGAGCAGAAGGGCAGGATTTCACCTCAGGTGTTCGCCTTCATGACAGACGTTAAAGGTGAAATCCAGACAAAGGAAAAGAGGAGGTAGGGAGTCGGTGTCAAAGATTGTTCTATCATGGAGGAAGAGATAGTATAAAAAGCAAAAGCGGGATTGGAAGCCATTTACATTGCGACTTTGAGTTGGTACATAGATGCTCTTTAAGTCAATGTGCTCACAGTGTGGAGTAAGACTTGGTGATGGAAACTCAGCTGGTAAAAGCTCTCTCCCTGATGCCTGCCAGCACACATGATTTATCTCCAGATGAAGACTCTGAGCCAGATTCTCAGATGATGTAAATAGGTGTAGCTTGACTGAAGTCACCAATTTACACCTTCTGAGAATCATAGAATATCAGGGTTGGAAGGGACCTCAGGAGGTCATATAGTCCAACCCACTGCTCAAAGCAGGACCAATCCCCAACTAAATCAAGCTGTTTCAAGCTGTTAAGATGTCCCAATTTGTATTTAAAGACCTTAGTTGTGTTGGAAGCCTGCTTTTGTGCTTAAAGATTTGGGCCTGATTTTCTTCTTACTCTGGTTTTACACCAATGTAACTTTATTGACTTCTACAGAGTTACTCCTGATTTACATTAGTGGAAATGGGAGGAGAATCAGGATCTCAATTTTAATTAGGCTTATTAGTAAGCTTATTCCTTTTAACTCAGGCTCCAAGAAGTCATTTCATCGTTACCCCAGAAAGCCACCTTATTAAGTGTGTGGGCTAGCCAATATCCATCACAGACAGACATAGTTGGCCACACTCTCATATAACCTCCATTAAAAACAAGGTAAATTAGATTGGTTTCTATTTGTAAATCACTTTTAACATGGAAAGGGTCAAGTTCTATGGAAGAATTTCAAATTTATTGAATTTAAGTCATTCTGGGTGGAAAAATTATAAAAATAAAGGGTGGGATCCACAAGGGAGTCGGCAATGCTGTGTCAGGGCACCTAGCTTTTAAGCACTTAAAACAACCTGCGGCCTGTCAGAGTAATCCGCTGGCGGGCTGTGAGACAGTTTGTTTACATTGACCGTCCACAGGCCCGGCTGCCCGCAGCTCCCAGTGGCCGCAGGGACATGGTTGCCGCCGCTTCCCGCAGCTCCCGTTGGCCGGGAACGGCGAACCGCAGCCCTGGGAGCTGCGGGTGGCTGTGCCTGCGGATGGTCAATGTAAACCAACTGTCTCGTGGCCCGCCAGCGGATTACTCTGACAGGCCGCAGGTTGCCCACCACTGACTTAGAAAAATCACAGGAACAACTCCGCCATCCATAAAGCCTGAGTTAGGTGCCTAGGTTTCTATTCAATTAATAGGGAGTAATCAGCACCTCAGAATGTGTTCCACAAGGCTAGCACAATATGTGAAGAGAGGCCTAAACTAGGCAATGGGAGATAGAGAGGAGAGGGGTGTGGCCTAAGCCCCGCCCATCTCACAAAGATAGGCACCTAAATCTGGGCTCCAGGGAGGCACCTATCTCTGCTTGCAATCCATGAGCCAGGGAAGACAGGTGACCGAAGACCTAAGACACATGCAGGCCCTGAAACAAAGCAGTCAGGGGGAAGAGGAGGACACTCTCCCTTATAACCTTTAGTCGAGTGGATAGGCTGCTGTGACAGGGTGGCACTCTGCCCCTGCTCTGTTGTATCACAGAATCCTGCTCAGACCCAAGTGGTTAGATATCCATACCGTACTGTTTATTTCAGATTCCTCTGCCAACATCTTTACAGCTTCATGCAGCAACACTATGTACAATGTCCCTTGTATCCTCAGACCTTTTCTCAGGGCCAAAGAGGAGAAGACGCCTCCCTTCCTTCAGAGCTCTCTGACTCCATGCTCAGCTTGCCATGCTCCTCCCTCTTTCACATTGTTCCTGTGCCTTTTTATCAGTCGTTCGCTGATAGGCTAATTAATCCTTTAGTTCACCTAGCCTACTATCATTACTTTTCATCCCCCCAATCAGCCCTCTCTGGGACAGCCAATTAATGCCAGAGTGATCAGCGTGCACGCTCACCTGTTAATTCTCAGCACTGTCACAGATGCTCAACCAGGATGTGGGAGACCCCAATTCAAGTCCCTGCTCCTCCTGAACGGGAGAAGGGCCTGGACAGGGATCAGCCATCTCAGGTGAATGCCCTAATCACTAGACTATGAAATATTGCAATGTGGCTCTCCCTCAATCTCTGCCATTGTTGTTGTTCCACTTTAAATATTAACAGGGCCATAGAAAGCATTGAATAACTCTACAGCCTAGCGGTTAGACCACTCACCTGATCTCTATTCAAATCCTGTCTCCCACTCAGGAGTGGGGGATGGGACTTGAACCAGGGGTTTCCCACATCCTGGAAGAGTACCCTATACACCAGGCTAAAGGCAATAAGGGAGCTCCGCCTCTTCCTCCCTACATTTTGTGAGGTGTTACACAGTCTTTAAGCACAGCTACTGGATTGGCCCTGCACAAGCAACTTAGGGCACTGAATGCCTATCTTCCCCAGTTTGTGACTTGCTCTGGGGCTTAAATGGGAGATAGGTGCCCGGGCACCTAGAGGGAGGCAGCAGTGCACGTGCTCAGAGTCAGAAACATAGGTTCTTAGGGAGCTTTTATTA